AGGAATATAATATACAATATAACATAATTATACTATTAATATTACTATAAATGTTACATAAATAATTTTTTTTCTGTGAATTTGAACGGATGGTGTTTTTGGCCTGTGAGGGTGAGGACAACAAAACGACGAAGTAAATCAGCCGCGGGGCCAGAACTTAACTAAGAATCCTACGGGAATAGTTTATCCCCAAATGGGAAATTCACTAACAAACATTTTTCGTGGACCCAAGGAGCAAATTCCAGATAAATCTTTCAAGTATGCTGCAATCAGTTACTCATCCGTTGCATACACTGAATATTAACTAATTAAAGCTAAAAACACACCGTACTGCTACCATGATAAAATTATGTAACGTTTCATGTATTTTACTGTCCAGAAGTACAATGAAAACTCCTAGGTGTATACAGTATATATTCTTCTCTTGTTAACTCTATGATGAATAATCATGTTTTATAAAAAAAAAATTGGAGGTTATAAAGCCTAAATATTAAGCGAAAACTTACTGCCATTAACACGTGAATAGTTACTATTAAAGGCAGGATTTTCTCGAAAATTCACCAAAAAATGTTGATAAAAATTTAGTATGTTGTAGCCCTTTAAATTCTGAAAAAAATGGTATGACTCCTACTTCTGTAAAAATTCTGGTTCAAAAGTTATTGTAAATTGTGTTTTATTCGTTGGCACTACAAACTCTTCATATACATGAGGATTGGTTAGCAACAATGAATAGCTTAATTGAACAACCCTCATAATATATCCTAACTGATGCAACGTTTTCATTGTACTTAAAGGGGCCAGGTGCGCTAAAGGTACTTAAAAACCAGAGATGGGCTAAAAAATGTATGTATACAAAAACTAGTTTATTTAATTTATTATCAAAATATTCTGTACTTATTTTGTTTCCCCCTTCTTTCTTCGTGGTATTTTAATTATTTTTAGTAAAGGAGCGGCTTTAAATATACTGGGTAGCAACATCAATCTTGGTCGTTGTTTGGCCAATACAGTATTCTATGTGTTTTCTAAGCATTCCAGGTGTCCGCACGACTGTCCCTCGCTGAATGCTGATGTGGGCGCTGATGACATTCTGACGACCTCTAAGTGTTTCTTGCACAATCATATTTCAAAAGTTACCTTAAGTAACAGTTACTTAAAACAAGTATATAGATTTTACTAAATCTTAACTTATGAATCTTAATACTTTAAAACTATAGAAAGGTGCATCTAATACAAATGCACTGAATGTTTAAAATCGTACAACATATCGTACTACATAGTTTGAAAAAAATATTTTCTTCAGTGTATGTGTTCTTCAAATATATTTTATTTTATTCGTGTGCAATTTATTAACATTCCTTGTCTTGGCAAAATAGTTGGATATCTTACACCTACCGTCACCCTGAATTAAGTTGCGAGCTTGTTAAAAAAGTAAAATATAGAAGTATGGATGGTAAAAGAAATCTTGTAGTTATTCACAATACCTAACCTTTTTAGAAAATTATAAACTTCTTTTGTATATATAAAATATTTTGTCTCATAACAATTGTAAACGCACTATATCATTAAAGTCCAATTTAACAGTATTCAATAGTTTACACTTATACAAGGTTAAATCAAGGTTTAATGTTTATAACTAATGGAACGATTAAAGGCAAAGTTAATTGCATGGCTAGACAGGTATAATGCTCAACTAGTAGGCTATAAATCTACCTCCGCAACGACCCCTAAACTCTACGATCTATCGTTACATTACAACGTCATTGTTGTCACTATGCAATGTAACCAAAGCGTTTCTCATTATGACTTGTATGTTGTTTTGTTGTATGACTTAATCCCCTTTGAAGACAATTGTTAACGCATGAATATTTAAAAACGTCTCACCATGCCAACGAAAAAGTTTCCATGGTAAAGTATTTGTTTAGAATACGTAAAAGTTATAATACATATTCTGACGTCAGGTTTGAAGCATTTCATTCTTTATAATTTTACCCATTTAGTTTAGGATCAACTTAAACACAAAACTCTGACCAAAAAAGTGTAGCCAATAACATTTTAATCAACAAAAAAGTATACGTAATTCGGTTTTTTACATTTTTGTAAATAGTAATATATGCAACAAAAAATAATAAGGATTATACTTACTCAAATGTGCTCACCAAAACTCATGGCATATAAAACGTATATTCATCGCTAAATGAATTACATGTCTTTACAATATTTTTACCTCACTTCATCAATACGCCATTTTATGATAAGTGTACATGTATTTCCTCCCTCTCGCTATACATCTTTGAACACTAACTCCACTTCTACACTTGCCTCTACCTAGCCCTATATCGCTAAGTCCTGGAGTTGTTATTCAACATTATACTGTAACCACTATGCCTCTTATCTATCTATCTACGAGGCATGTTTTTAAAATAAGTACCGTTTTTAAATTTCTCCGTTCCAGCACTGCGATTGGCATTTTCAACATTTGCGCTGTGTATGGACATCTATTGGTAAGACCTAGCCGGAAATTCGAGAAAAATCGGCCGTGTTTACATCCGGTTTCGAGCATTCAAAATGGTGCTGCCAATTGAGACTGCCGCCAACTGTGAAGTGCGCGCTGTAATTAGATTTTTAAGTGCTTAAGGTGTGAAAGCTATTGAATATCATCGACAGATTAATGAAATGTACGGCGAGAACATTATGAGTGACGGAATAGTACGCAAGTAGGTAAGGACATTTTAAGACGGCCCCACCAGGCACCAACGTTCATTATTAGCAACGCACTGGGTACGGGGACAGTAAGGACGCCGCCCAGTGCGTTACTCATCATGAACGTTGGTGGGGCCGTATTTGGATGCCCTTATCCACTTGCATTATGGCATTCATAATGTTCTCGCCATACACTTCGCTAATCTGTCGATGATTTTCAATGGCTTTCACACCTTCAGCACTTAAAAATCTGATTACAGCGTGCACTTCACAGTCGGCGGCAGTCTCAATTGGCGGCACCATTTTGAATGCTCGAAAGCGGATGTAAACACGGCCGATTTTTCTCGAATTTCCTGCTAGGTCTTACCATTAGATGCCAATACACAGCGCAAATGTCGAAAATGCCAATCGCAGTGCTGGAACGGAGAAATTTAAAAACAGTACTTACTTGAAAAACATGCCTCGATACTACACCGATGAATCTCCAAAGTTAAATCTATTTTGAAAAATAACTAACAAGATGACAGATTATCTCTAAACTCCAAATCGGTTTGACTGATTTCAGGTAATCCAAAACAAAAGCAACTGTAATAAAAAAATAGTTTTATTGATCATAAAATATACATCAATATCAGCAGGATTAATGCATTTATTATTTCGAAAACTAATAATACTTCCTTACAAAATAAGCGTATACAACAGATACAAATTAGTTATCACAATAAAAAAACATTAATTACATTACAAATATTGTAATCAACGAAGGAGGGAGTTTGAAATATTTACATTCTACATTCATTCAAGGCTTACTCATCATTTGGTCACATTTATATACGTATATGTAGAGGTAAACGAAAGTACATTCACTCCTTTAAGTTTGAGCATTGTTTATCTTAAAATTAAACATTTCAACGTTCATATTAACAAATAATTAAAGAAACAACTAACACGTATGATTTGAGTAAAACACTTGTTCATAATAGATAATATCTAGGAAACAGCATTGCATAAATTAAATTTATATGATTTCATACTCATTTTAACTAAAAAATATTGCACTAAATATAATTAAGGAAAACCTTACCAAACAAAATTCAAGATGTACATACTAATCCAGAAAATAAAAAAAATTATACAGAACAAACTTTTTTACTTTTTTTCAGAAAACAATCTAAATAATAAAATACTTATATCGTTTTATCTACAATAGCATCCAAACAGTCGTTAAAAATACTTAACACCATAAACAAATCCAACAACTTAGATATAGTTTTCAAATATTTTCAACTTAAGGATTCTTATCTTATACCATCATCATCATCTTCCACTTCTTTTAAAAACCTATCTTAGACGAAAAGAAAAGAATAATACTGAAAAATTAGTTTGATACTTTTTCAATCAATTTGACATCACTGACAAGCTTTGTAAGCTTGGCGAGGCTAAACCAATCAATGTAATACTACGAATAAATATACTGTATTGGAATTTGAATGGTGTATAATACTGATTGGATATTAATAACTAAAGTAAATAATGAATAATTATCTTTCTATAAATTAATCAGCAAATAATAAGGAAATTCAGTAATGAATAAAATAAACGAAAATCTAAATGAACAGTTTACAAAGAAAGTAACACGATTCGTTAATTTTAGCAAATTTCCCATATAGGGAATAAGCTATTACCGTAGTACTCATGGTAAGACCTGGACGTGGGACCGATTTTTTTTTTCGTTTTGAGGTCCCTAGAGGCCAAAAACACCATCCGTTCAAATTCATATATATATATATATATATATTTATTTATATATATATATATGTGTCCGTTAGCACGATAACTCGAGCAAAAATGGTCCGATTTTGATGAAATTTGGTACAAACGTGTAAACCTACATTTATTCGAACGAGTTCGCGATCCAGCATGATCGGACCATGGGAACGGGGGTTTACGGGGGGTTTTATGGGGTAAAAATAGGGTTTTCCCATTTTTGACCCAAAAAACATAAAATTTAGCAATTTCTTTCCAAACCATTTTGTAGATCTTAAAAAAACAAATAATTTAGTATATTGAAGCGTTGTTATGCGCCTAATGGTTACGGAGAAAATTCCAAAAAATTGTAAATTTAAAATTTCCATGTTATTCTTATGGAGAATAAGTAAACTGTTGTAGTTTGCTTGTTTATGAACATATTTTGATCAAATTTGGAAAATGTTTTTATTTCTTACGAACTATTAACATTTTACAAAAAAAAAAAACAGTTTTACCCTCCCAGATGCGTGTCGTAACACTTCGGCCCAAGTAACACTTCGGCCCAGTAACATTTCGGCCCGAAACCCTCAAATGTGGCCTACGGTCCAACTCTCTACCTGCCCACTAGTAACACTTCGTCCCAACAAAATATTTGACAGGTTAGGTTAGGTTATACAATAAAAGGTTAAATTACCTGTGTCCGCCAGTCGATCCTTGTGCTGTGTCCTATTACAGGAGATGCATTTCGGCAGAATAAACTGCCATCATCAGTCCTAATATAAGTCCTTGTTCTTCCCCATTGGGTGCGTCTTGAAGTTTTGAAACACGTACACGAACGATATTACACTTAGATACATTACGAATAAAACATAAAACACGGTAGGCCTACTTTTATTTGAGCTATTACGGACATGTAATAGCACTACTTCAGCAGGTTTTAGGTTAGGTTAGGTTAGGTTAGGTTAGGTAAGATTCCACCGATTCTCCGTCATGTGAGGTCAGAGGATGCAAGGGGTGACGGTTGGGCGACATTCCACCAGAGGGTGGTTGCAAAGTATACAGGTCATGTACCTCTTACTACCTGAACTGCGTTCCTCAACCCTTGTCAATTTTTCGTCGGGCCGAAATGTTACTCCATTAGCTTATTTAATCATCTGTAAAAGCGAGTGGGACGAAGTGATACTGTTTTTCTAAGAAATTTGAGTTTGGCCGAAATGTTACTGGGCCGAAGTGTTACTACATCCCCAGATGCAGCAAACCTAAGTACTTGCTAAACTAATTCTTTTTAAATCGGGATTAAATGTTATATTTTTAAGTAGACATTTCAGTGTAAATCAAATCAGTCAAATGGAAATTTGCTTAGTCTGCAGGTTTGCTGCGGCGGGGGTATTTTATATTTTAGAACGTATTCAATACATTTAGTACAGTTTCCTTAACTGTTGTGCAACCTTAATACAGCTGCCATTAAGTTTATTTTTAAATTATATAGAATATAGAAGATGTTAAAACTTAGACTATGGTTAGAAGTATGCATCACATTGCGATGTGAAAGTTGTATGTGGCCAGTCTTAAAATATTAATTTACAGAGTTGAGTTGAGATACCGACAGTTTGTGCCGTTGCCAATTACGTAATAGAGACGAACTCAAACATGTTTCACTTATCCGAATAGTAGCTTGTGGTAATGAGTGACATATTTTATTTGTCATCATCTGAAATAGCATAGTCAACTAAGGGAAGACACATAATTAAACCATAGGATAATCTAAAGCCAATTTTACCAGGATCTTTTACAATAAATATTGGGTACAAGTAATAAATGAGTTATAATTTACCACCCAACGTTGAGGGATGAACATATTAACAATCCAGAAACATTTGACAATACAACCACACATATTTGGGGTATTATTTAAAAAGTAATTTAAAATCTAGATGGCCTCGGCTGTATAATAAATGTAACATCCAGTTAAATTGTTCTAACTCAACTTGGTGTTAAAATTAATTGTATATTACGATTAAACACGTCAGTATTAATATTATAAGATGAGGGCAATTCTGAGCTTATGTTTACCAAAGTGTGAACGTGGGATAAGTTTATTATGAGTAGCTTTGTTACTACCTAAGATATTTTTCCATAGCGAAAATAATTAATTACAAGCTCTATAATTGAATAACATAGGTACAATATCAAAAGGGTAGCAGAGACCATCTACGTTTTGATTGTTTCAAAAATGATTTAAGGTGGAGATAGTAAAAAAACGAAAAGGTGTTAGCTGCCAAAAAAACATGTCTGAATCTCCCTCGTATATAGCAATACTTTTCTTTCTTCAGCTGACCAGGAAGTGGGGTCCTCAATGCTACATGGTTTTCACCAGTCCGTACCAACTCTATCTCCCTTCCTTTGAACTTTCACAGTGAACTTAGTGTCAATTGGAGTAATAAATAAGTCATAAGGGTTTTCATGTGAAGGTTGAGGTGGAACATTACAAAGGTGGAAGATCTTCGTCAGAAACCTAAGGGAAGTTCAACATGGCGAAGGTAGAGTACGATTCATCGAGCGCCTCCTGTGACTCTTCCTGTGGCGAATGTGTCCAGCGGCGCCTGTCATGGCGTCACATGTTGTCTGTGACTCCGCCGTTCATGAAGGTGGTGACAGTACACTCTGCGGTGTGGCCTGGACGTCGTACCGTGCTGTGGTGCAGGTGGAGGGTGGTGGAGTCCCACTTCCTAGTCCCGGTGTGTCTACGTTGGCTGGAGCGTCCACGATGGACCGCGGAATGCTTCCAGCAGCAGAATAGGTAGCGGTCGAAGTGTTTCCTAAACGTGCCTGTCACGCAGTACAGAGCTATAGGGTTGATACAAGAGTTGACGAACGTCAGACAGAACCCTACTATTCTCAAGTGGTGCCAGAACGCGTTGTAGTTCTGCTCGGGGTTTTTTGAGAACCAGTAGAACCAGAGGAAGAATACGTGGTTAGGGAAGAAACACACTGCGAAGATGATAACGAAAGCTAATACAGTCTTGGCTACTTTTTTTCTCCCCTTGATTTGTCTTGCTTGGTGTGGCTGCAGCCCACCTGGAATATTCTTGGTGCTGATTATCAAGTGGCGAGCTATCATTATGTAGAAGAATGCGATAATACTGAGTGGTACGGTGTAATGGATGAGGAACCTCGCTAGGATGACTCCCTTTGCGTAACCTATCCCGTACTCTTCGGGAAAAGGATAGCAAATAACGATCGAAGTATCGTTCTCCCTCACTTCTCGGACGTAAGCTCCAAACGCAGCAGGTAGTGAAAAGAAGATGGCGAGACCCCAAATAGCTAAAGCTACTCTGGTAGCTCCTCTCACACCCAGATAGGAGAGCTGTTTACGAATCGGGTCGACAATCGCGAAAAACCTCTCCGCCGAGAGAGCTGTCAATGTGAAGACAGAAACTCCAATTGATATGTCTTTCGAGGTCTCCGATAACTTGCATACAATCTCTCCGAATGGCCAGCTGGGAACTGTGTAGATAATTGAGGTGAAAGGAACGCAGCTGATGATCACTAGAAGATCTCCTATAGCTAGACTGAAGATGTAAGTGTTTGGAACGCTTCTCATTTTCTTGTGTCGGATGAATATTATTACCACTGTTCCGTTTCCCACAACACCGACTAGGAAGATGATTGCAAACAAGACGGGAACGTAGTAGGTCTCCGGTCTCTCCTCGTACGGTGGTATATCCAAGGCTGAATTGTTGACGATCCCAGTGGATGTAGCGTTGAAGAAAGCTTCTTCTTCCGCACTGATGTTTAACATTGTGTTATCCCACTTTAGTTTTACGTTGGTTTAGAACTGCTACTGCATCTTTTTTTGTATTAGCTGTGGTTTTTGGCTTTGAAGATGGTTACGTACTATCACTGGTTTAAATTTCTTCGCTGCAATTTATGTTTCAAATCGAGTTTTCTTCATCTTGGACAATCGAAGGGTATTCTTGCAAGTCATTGAAACCTCGTAAAGGCCACCTGCAACAAAAGAAAAGTGTTATTTAAACTGTTAGTTTTAGATTATAAATACATTTTCTATTTTTTAGCAATATTTACAGTATACCATTTCAGGTCCTTAGTCATCTACGCTTTTCCCTTTCTACCCGTAAACGTTGCCAAAATGTCGTGAAACTCAACAAGGTTGTCAATTGACACCTTCGACCACCAAAAATAAATTTCAAGCGAATTATTTTCAGTAATTTTGAGTTGTATACGATTTTAGTTGAAATTTAATTATACAATAGAACACGTAACCAAAGTTTTTGAAAAATATTTTTCTAACTTTTAAAGTTTAAAATCCATTATTTCAATATTTCAATCATACACTATCCAGAGAGAGGGTTAAGATCTTTAAGAGTCCTTGGAGGCTAGCGGCCATCTTGGATAGTTTCAAACAGCTGTTGAAGAGTTAATTATGATCCAAAAATATTTTTTTAAACACCAATGTGATTATAATTTAAATAAAACATTAATTGTCTGTTGTTTTGAATTGATTTCCAAGGGAGTTAATGAAAGCCAACGGCCATCTTGGATTTTCCCGCCATAAGGGCAATGTTAATTTCGTTATTTTTAAACAGCCGCTAAAGAGTTATTTATTACTCAAAATATCTTTTCAAATACCAAAGTGATTGTAATTTAAATATCTAGTATACTGTGAGATTTAAAATTTGCTTTGTATTTCTTTAATTGTTTTATGACATAGAATGTATGCGCTCCAAGGACTCTTGAGACTAATCGACCTTTTCTGACTACAACACAAATGTTGATCCATTACTTGAGATAACAATGCGCTGCCGGTCTGTCTTTGACATTATAAAGACCTGTAAATATTTGGTTTCCTTGAATAAACGTTGGCTAACGCTGTAGAAGAAACCGGTATCGTCAACAACGATGTTGCATCTATCAATCTATCTTGCAAGGTTTTCTTCTGAGACATTTATTACGATTTTTATTATATCAGAGCACATACTATATAATAGCGTTATTTGTAATTGTAATAGTCAACTTGGATTGTAAGTAATAAAATAGTATGTCTAGGGTTATTATCATTGATAAATTGAATGTAGTTTCTTGTTTGGAGCTAATTTCTTTAAATTCGTGGGATTATTACAAACCCTTTTTACTGTACCCTAAAATATGGCATAAGAGATTCCATTCCATGCTAAAGTTTTCGCCAGTTTGATTATGAAAATATACGTGAATGCGCTGATTTTAATCAAATGACTTATGTTGCGTAAACCAACTTTTTACCAAGCATAACTGAAATCACAACTAATTTTAATTGTAATCTATATCATCATGTATGACCCATCAATCATCAAATCATTGATAGAGTCAATAAGAAAGTATTATAAGAGAGAAATAATAATATTTACCGCAGCGCATGAACTACGTTCTACTTAAATGATATAATTAAATGGTAATTAAAATGATAATTAAATGATGATTAAAATTATAATTAAATGATAAAACTACAGTGGATCCATACTGACAAAATGTCTACTGTAGTATCTAAAATGCAATTGTACCACTGTTCAAACTAACTGTTGTTTTTCTTTGTAATTGTTCTCATACTTTGACCTATATCTTTGACTATCCAATAGTCAATGCTAATATGCAGTTCAATTTATTATTTTGAGCTTTGGATGGATTCGTGAAGGCCTACTAAACTTTTTATAATGTAGGTACACTTAAGTGAGGACAATTAATATCTAATTGCGAATTCTTACGTCTGATACAAACCTTTTTTTATAATCATGATTTTTGTATATCCATAATAACCTCAAAATAACGATCATAGTTCATTATTGAGTTGATGTTAAATTAAGAGGAAAAGAGAATTGCCTGATGATCCTATTAACTATGGATTGGGAAATAATATTTTTTTACAATAGTAGAATCAAATATTTGTATTATTTAAACGAAGCTATTAAGGATTCTGTTTCTTAAATAATTTTAAATTTATGGGTTTCAAACAATTAAAAACTATTTAGAACTTGAAGTCCAATTCATGCAACAAAACCAACTTAGCAACACACGATGATTGTGTATTGGGAACGGTTGACCACTTGGAATATCACAGCTGTCATATACAGCTATTGTTTAACCTATCTCTCGTATTGTATTATAATTGAGTATGCCTGCGCGGTATTGAGTTTAAATTAATTTAATAAACGTATACATAGTATAATATTGATGTCTTAATCTGTCTACCAAAAAATATTGTGTTTCACAACGCAAGAAATTGAAATATTCTTTTTAGTAATATGACAGGAAAACACCACGCCTTATCGTACTCTTTTGGCAATGCTTGTGGATTTTAGTGAGTCGTACGAGTAATAACATTTACAAAAATTACATTCGGCCTACAATATTTCAGTAACTATGTTGGTTTTGAATTCAATCATAAAATCGATTATTTATCAACTTGGTCATTTTGTAAGTGTTGGAAGTTCTCTGAACACTATTGCTGCCTGCCTCTTGTACATAAATCATATGTTTTATTATATTGTAAATACTCTACTTACATTTTGTTTACATTTTATCAGGTAAATCATGTTCATTAAACCATTTCTTGAATTTTATCTTCTTTGTTGTATCAGTTGTTACTATCTTTCATTAACAGTAAGTATCTAACTATAAATGAGAACAAAAAAAAGTTTCAAGACGTAAAGGATGTCTACTTTCAAATTTTCCAAGTGAAATACTTGACATGTTTGAGACAATTTAGAATATCGTTAATTTGTGTTTACTAAGTTGATAAAAACTATAAGTAAAGCTGACTATGCTGCTTTTATGCACTTTTATTTTCATAGGACATTTATGAAAATCATTATTTTTCGAATGGCTTTCAGTATAAGATGTTCTTTAATACATGTAAAATTATGCGTCTTTAATCTCTTTTTGTTTTCTAAGATTATAGCTATCTACAGCGTAAAAGCGCTTCTAACCACGGGACCATGGTTAATACATGCTCCCGATTTTATATTATTGTTGATGTTTGATGTCTATTCTTTTTAATACTCCTTGGGCTACCGATTCTATATTTCAGTTTTTTTACCTGCCATCCATAGCAGACATTTCGGGTAAGTTATTCCAGTGAAGTTGTAGCACATCATTAGAAGTTTTTAATGGAACTGTAGAGAAATGAATCCATGTGTTTCGAAATACCTGGAAGGAGTGTCTACTCCTTTTATTTATGATACTGTATAGTGATCACCTGTTAGTCAGTGGTATTTTCCATTTGTATAAGAATTAACAGCATTATTACGTGCCATATCTTTATTACCATATTCATATTTTCAAGTTATTTTGCATACATTGTGTGTGAGATTTCAAATTAAATGTTTTAAAAACACGGATAAAAACACCATTATGGATCTGCCATTCTTATTGTTCAGCAATGTTTTTCAAAATTATTTACATTGTTCAGTCATTTAAAAAAAAATGTATTTTAATTCGTTTTAGGTCTCAAAATTTCTTGATTATTTAGTAACTCAATAGCTATTTACAAAAACTCAGATGTCTAACGTTTGCTCATCCTCTGGTAGTAAAACATAATAAAACATAACTATAAAATTGAATTTAAAACAAATCAAACACCTTATGTCGATGTCGGTATTTTCTTAGACCTGTAGTATTGAAACAAAAACACCCTACTTATCCTATCAGTCTTCATTTGAGCTTTTTTTGATCGATGTGGTATTACCTCTTGGACATTATTACCGCCTAAATACATATTACTGTTGAAAGACATTTTTAATGTGGCTTGTGTCACTAAATCAGACCATTATAAGGTCGACAGACTGTTGAATACTTTAATGCTTGAAAAAGCATGTAGTTGCTCATGTAATGTATAAAGCTATGGTTATCAAAGTCGCCATGGGTATTAGATGACATGTCAAGATGTGTCCTATGTTCATGTTTCTTTGGCGCGATGGAGCTGACGGGGCAACTACAAGGCTTCCATGCTGTTGTGTCTGGAGACTTTGATCACTTGATTCTACATGGTGTTGTATGTAATCATTAAAGTAAATTAAAACTCATCTTGTATCCTCTGATATTATTATTAGGTACATACCTTTAAGTCAACAGTTCAACAAAGTAAGTCGAATTCAATATGATTATTTTAATGTAATTGCCGAGTCTATAATTGGGTTAAACATTCTTGGAAAGATCACTTTACAATGCCTGAATAGGTGAAACAACGTGAATTTGACTATGTTGAACTGCTGACGTATAGGTATGTACCTATAATAGTTATCCATTAAAGGTAAATGAACAGGTCAAATAGATTCAGGATTCAATTGAACCACTAGATAACACTTAGAGCTAGCCGAGTAGTTGAGTGGTTATATTACTCGGTAGGTAATGATTTGATTAATGGTTTTGACTGAATGAGTTATTTTTAAATAACTGTCAGGCAGTTTCAAAAAGTAACATTTGTGTTACAAGTTTCGGTGAGATGTCATCGTGTAACACTTCAGTCTTAAAAATACATTAGTTCCAATAGATTAGCTTTGCGGACAGAAATAAACCGTTTTTTTCCATCTTATCTTTTGGATACGTTCAATAAGAGGGTTTAAGGAATTTGAATAATTGTTTTTTTTTTAGAAGACCTGCTATTGTTATTTATTTATTTTAGTTTTATTTTCAAACTTGATCTGATTGGTGAGAATTACTAAACATTTAAACGTGACAAATTAAATAGCGAAATGTTCAGGTGTCTTTAGATACGTATGAAAGATGTATGAACATTTCAATTTTAAGTATAATAAACCTTGTATTTCCAAACAAACTATTATTTATGAAACTTTGTTTGTTTATTACTGATATACACTTAAATTATATTTTCAAATTTTGTTATAAGTGTGTATTAATTCTTCGTAGGTATGTATTAATATTACTGATTGTTTTTTTATTTTTTATTTTTTTTTACAAAAACGTGATTTGGAACAAATTTAATAATAACACTCATATCTTTCAATAGAAACCGACATTTATATGGCAAATCCATAAATACGAAAAGGACTATTTCGAACGCACAATAACAAACTCATTATTTAAGCTATTAAGATAATAATTGCGACTTTTAGGTTGGATGAACTTATTTATTGAACAACGACCAAAGCAATTTACGTGTATAATGAGGTAATGAATGTGTTTATCCAACTATTAATAACCCAACTTGTTTTTATTGACTTGTTGAACTGTTTTGAAAGAAAATGCAACAAGTTATCCCAGCTTTGACTAAAATAACTGTCAAGCTTAACCTGGTTTAGGTAATTTCATCATACAATCATTCTCTCCCCGGGTGAGACTTATGGCCAAGAATATCGTACTTTTTTATCCATCGCACGGCTCTTCTTTGAGAAATGTCGTCACGAACAATTTGCATTGCCATATTTGTAAAATATAAAACCATTTAAAACTTTATTTTCATAAACGCCAAATGTAATTTAAAACTTGAGAAATGTTTTTTCACAAATTTTGACTTCAGAAGTAGAATTCGACTTCAAAAATTTTGTTCTGAATTTAATATCAACTTTTGCTGCTGTTTCGTATAGTATAAAAACCTCTAATATATTCTTTGATTTCCAATTTTAGTTAAAAATAAAATTGGGATACAGTAGTTAGAAATGTACAATGAAATATAAACTTTTAGAAGTCTTAAATGTACAATGAAAGATTAACTTTTAGAAGTCTTAAATGTACAATGAAAAATTAACTTTTAGAAGTCTTAAATGTACAATGAAAGATTAACTTTTAGAAGTCTGAAAATTTAGAGTTTCGTCACTTAACAAGCATAGTTTGACGGATAAATAGTTAAAGTAACTATTTTAACATAAACAACTATTATACTAATTTTATCATTGAAGACTACGATCTACATAATGTACCTACATCAGGGAATTAAAGGAAATCAAAATAATACAATATTTGTAATTGGAACTTTGTAATTGGACACAACAAACAGTTCTTAAAACTAAAATATCTACTACTTTAAACAAAGGGTTTTAATTTTCAAAATACAAAACATTATAAACCAACATATTACAAAGACGGTAAAAATGTGCATAACAGATTCTTTGGCATTACCAAATCTTAAAGCCGAAAAGTATTATGACAAAATGCTACCAAATGTTGTAGAGTATAAGGGTTCTCTAGTATTCTAATGATTTATACAGTAAACTTGTAGTTTTGTCCAAACTTATGTACAGGTTTGTTATTTTTAAACAAAAATGCATACTTACATTCCCTACATTGAAACTTGTAGGCAAAATGGAATTGCCTTTAAAAAATCTTGTTAAAACAAACCAATATTTTTTAATATTTTTCATTGTCTGAAGTTAATTTTTTGTTTTTGTTTTTAATTGTCTTAGTTTTTACAGAATTTCAAGCAAAATAGTAATAAAACAGACAAGTATAGTTAAATTAGCAATAGTTAAAGCAATAGTCCTCATAGGTAAATTAGCTATATCATGTTTTCCCGTATTATTTCTGACTTTCTGACTATTGCATGAATTGAATAAAATTTGTTTGCTTTTTTGTAAGAAAAAATACTAATTGGACAATTTTGTGCTACACTTCGAACGAGTTTATGTTTACAATTCTTATCTTTGTCTAACCAAGCGCTGGTTCTCTTTCAACTAAAAGAAAACCTGCGGGTGAAATTACCTCACTCCAATCGCAACAAACAACCAAACACCATTAAACATTCCAAAATAAAAATTATTAAAAATCCAAAAACGAACTATTTTTTGGGTACATTAAAATGCTCACTATTTATCCTGACTGACAAACACTCGTTAATGTTTGGCACTTGAAGAGAAATAGTTCTGTATAATCAAAGCTTTTATCAAAATACTTCCTAAACATTCCCTGAAATCTGTACACGAAATATCACTTTAATATGAACAATCCCATGCAGTAGCCTTACTAGCATAACTACTTAAGCAAGACTTAAAAAAGTATGTAATGTTCTCATGTTAGTTACGGTAATAATTAATTAAACATTAATAGTCGATTATCACAAATCAAACAATTGAAGTACATTTAAAACAGTGCTTCATGCTTAACGCCAGTGCAATTAAACTATTAGCACTTTTTATCTTGACTAACAAAACTGAAATACAATGTGTACAAAAAGATTAAACTTTCAATATCCAATTAAATTATCAATATACATCCTTAATCCACCTTGGTTTCTGTTCTCCGACTGTTTAGGTCTTGCTTGATCAATCTAATTGACTAACAACCTACTTAAAAATAACACAGAGAATCTTAAATCTTATAATTTACTAAATATACAGTATTAGAGTTTACAGCATTGTTCTCAAAAAGTCTCTTTTTCAGAGCACACGTCAGATGACTTTGTCCTTGGCAATGGTGCCTTGACGGAAGCTTCAATAACTTCTTGTTGATGAACTCGTTGTCCTTGAGTTTGTAAGTCTCCGGGTGCTCGAACGTTCTTGACTACTACTTGGGTCTTGTCTACAACGGAGGTATCGGTTGAAGTGCTTTCCGAAAGTCCCTGTATCGTACAAGATAAAAGGGTTGACAAAGGAGTTAGCAAAAGTGAGGCAGAAACCAATTATCCTCAAATAGTGCCAGAATTTGTTGTAGTTTCTCATGGGGTTTTCGGAAAACCAGTAAAACCAAAGTAGAAAAACGTGATGGGGTAGTAAAAAGACAGCAAAAATTAAAACATAGACTAATACTTTCTTCGCTGCTTTTCTCCTCTCCTTGATTAGCCTCGCTTGGTGAGGCTGTAGCCCACCTGGGAATAGGGAAATATTCCTGGTGCTGATTATTAACTGGCGAGCGATCATGATGTATAAGATTGCGATTGTACTGAATGGTACTACGTAATGGATGAGAAACTTGGCAAGAACTACACCCTTCGCGTAAGCCAATCCGTACTCCGCCGGGTATGGGTAGCAGATAACCGCTGAAGGATTTGAATCGATCACTCTGAGGTGGGCACCGATCGCAGAAGGCACAGAGACAAATATAGCGAGTCCCCAGATCGCTAAGACTGTTCTGGTAGACTGAGACGATGTTTCCTCTGAGACTCTTTGTCTGATAGGGTGTTTTATCGGGATATATCTTCTTGCGGAGAGAGCAGCCAAGGTAAATACAGATACACCAATGAATATATCTTTTGTGGTCATCGATAATTTACAAAGGAACGTCCCGAATGGCCAATACTTCACAGTGTACAGTATAGAGGTGAAAGGAACACAGGTGATGATCACAAGTAAATCCGCTAAAGCTAGACTGAAGATGTAAGTGTTAGAGCTAGATCTCATACTCTTATGACGGAGAAAGGTGATCACTATGATTCCGTTTCCAACGACTCCCAAGATGAATATGATGGCAAACAATACAGGGACATAGTAAGTCTCTGGTCTTTCTTCGTAAGGCGGGAATGCCGTGGCAGGTTTTCCTGTGCCCTCGTGTTCACAAATATTGTATTTGGTATGAGTGTACATGTCTGATTTAATTCACCTTAGAATCTCATCATATCGGGCTGTGATTTTCCAAGGTCTTTACTATACAGACGGGGTAGAAGCTTGTGACGTCATCTTCTTCAAATGAGTCAAACGAACGTTAAACCTTTTGGAGATTCGCCTGTTACAAACATATTTTGGTATTAACAACAGATATTTTTATGGGTATGCAATCAAATTTAAATTTCACAAAGAAAGGCAATTTCTTCAAAACATTTTTTTTTATTCTGTCATGTGAATCTTTTCAATTCTAAGAACTGAATTGAAAAGTCTGGTTTTAAAACAGTCAAATGTAAAAATGTTAAGTTAACAAGAAAGCCGATATGTTATTTAGGAAGAGGTATTGTAAAAAATGATTTTACAAGTAAACAACATATTTTTCAGTACTGTTGTATTTATATTAGCTGTACTAAGTTTTGTTTACCTGTATACCACTAAAAATATAAATACCCCCATCGCAGCTAACCTACTTACCAAGAGAATTTCTATTTTCCTGATTGAATTCACTTAAATATATTAAAAATAACATTAGGGTAAACGAGTACCTACATTTGTTGCTACAAGGAAGGTTATAAAGTGGGTTTTTTAGTAAAATATCAGTTGCTTAGTATAAAATAAAAACATTTGTCAAGTTTGTTCAAAATTAATATACATAAACAAGCAAAGGATATACATGATTAAAAAAGTACCAAATTTCATCAAAATTGGATCATTTTTGCTCGAGTTATCGAGCTAACGGATGGTGTATTTGGCCTCTGGGGACATCAAAATGAAAAAGTAAATCGGTCCCGTGTACAGGTCTTACCACGATACTTACAATAATAGCTTCTTCTCTATGTATAAAATTCGCTAAAGGGTCAGAACAATTTGTCATAACTATGGCATAATTATGGTAATAGTAATCGTACATACTATAACCATTGTACTGAAGCAGACGTTCCGCCTGTCGAGTTAGACCAGCATAATTAAATTCTTTTAACCACAAATAACATAGTAAATCCTCCCCAAAACGTAACACTACTAATGTAATCTTTTCCCTTGTACTATTTAATGGATACTATATTACTTGAGTATGGGTTTAAAACAAGCCCTTAGTAGTACCCATTATTACCTAAGCATGAGTAAACAGTTTTCTTTCATAATGGATACTGTCAATTAATATTTCACAGCAAAATACCCTATCTAAAGAAAATTGAACCACATAAGTTTTTTTATATATTATAAAATCGTAATTGTTGTCTGCTTTAAAGTTAGTAGTGTACGACGCTTTAATTTTATAATAGAGACAACGAATACTAGAAGAATACTGGTATGGATCATAAACATAAACAAATAACGTTTTTGGCCAGAGTCCTATACTAAATAGCATATTATGGTTTAGAGAGTTCCATTTAAACAATGTTAAATAATGTTTACAATTGGGCCAAAAACGTCATTTGTTTATGTTTATGATCCATACGAGTATTCTTCTAGTATTCGTGATAGAGACAGTATTGCACTTATCCACTTATAATTTAACAGTGGTGAAGTGGTTGTTTAGCACATCTTCCAAAGAAGGTTGCCTCACCATACACGAAGTTTCGGAATTAATTCCACTGCCGACTGCATATTTTGACCAAACTCTTCCTCCAAAATGCCTTATTATTTCGTATGTTGCCCTTACCCAACCTATAGTCGTTTAATTAAAATTGTACATTAAAAATATGGGTTGAATTAATTCTCGCGTGATCTAGGGCTTTCTAAATGTGGCCTTGTCCGTTATTTATAAACATAGCTCTGACCAAACTCAGACTCAGGCTTTTTATGGACTCTATGCCTTAAATTACAGTAGACCTAATAAACAATCAAAATCAATAAGGGTACATTAATACTCTAAGCTATGTGGACGGCAAAATGCAAGTTAAAAAGAGACCGCCAACCTCTTATTTAGAAAAATAAAATAATGTAAATACTACGTATTTTATAAGCTGTGGTTTCTGTTTATAAGTAGCCGGCAATTTTAACTTAAATTACATGCCTTGAAAGGAGAAAAAAAAGCTAAAGCTTACTTAACTTTGATGTATTGGTAATACAACTTTCCGATTATTATATCAAATCATGGCTTTTCAGAGTAATGCAATAGACTCTCATGTCTATGTCAAAGTTGAAGTCAATTATTTGAATAAAATGGATTATAGTTTAACTAAGCAACCGTCAGAGTGTGCTTCTGTCAGTTGGTGATTTCTGCCGAATAGTCGAACTGTTCAACGAAGCCAAAGTGTACATAGAAACTACCATAGTAAGATAACTTAATAGAATAAAATTAGTTTGAAACGTAGAGTACTATTTCAGTGGTGAAAATATCCTAATTGAATAAATGAAATTAGCTAAAGCTTATCCATATAGTTAGAAGTGTGTTTCATTATTTAAAAACCAATGGTAAGATATGCAAATAAACTTTAATAAATGACAAAACAGTAACACTCGGTTTGACAATCCTTACTCAATTACTGTGAAATAGAATAACGGGGGATCATGCTTGAATTGTCTTAGTAAAGTTAACCCAATTGAGATACTTGAGCTTCCACTATTGGGCACACAGATTCAATTACCAAAAAATGTTAACAGATTCGTTACTCTGAAATACTTTAGACAATTCAATTTTTTATCACTCCGTTAATAGTCAAAGACAGTAGTTATTATCGATGACAGCTGTCAAAAATCACTGTTTCCCAATATCTTAATTTAGAGAAAGGTGAAAACATAAAGCTGGATTCTACCATTGTATATAGATGATTCTACATGCATATTTTATAAGTAACTAATGATTCACATCACTAGTTCAAACCAAAACGTTGGAATCATGTAAAGTATTTAATTTTTTCACATAAATGTGTATAATAGTATTGCACATTCACACTTTTAAACATACATATATGTAGGACTATTGTAACTACATCCCTAAAAGTATTTTATTTGAAGTCTGACCCTTCTCCTATTGCAGAGTAAGGTTTTTACAGCATTCACATAAAATCTGGTAGGTTTGGATCTCTTATTAAACAGGAAGCGTATCCCTTGATAGAATAGTTTTGTATATGTAGTAACCTATTACATATAACATATTTATATTTATCGAGAAGACATACATATTTACAGCTGATAATTTGAAATCCAATTAGTGTCATGGGTATTTGTTATATCGTTGACTATTGGATACTGAAGTAGTAATAGTCAAAGGTCATATTTAACAAGACAGCAAAACGTGTTTAAAGGTTTTGAATAATACGTGCAACAATAGTAAACCCTTTTAAACCCACTTGGTAGGTTTCTTGAATTACTAAATAGATGAGACGTTGTGAATAATTAGAATAAGCCACATTATAATTGATTATTCATCGTCATCGGCGTTTTAATGATTTATTTTAACTATGACGTCAAACTTACAGCTTAAGAGTACGCATTAAATAAAATAGCAGCTCATATGCGTGTTGTATGTGGATTTGCCGATAGAATATTTTTCGTTGAATATAATGTTCGATTTCCTTGTTTAAAGTTCGTTGTTGGTAATATTGAGTTTACCAAAGTGAAAAATTACTGCTCAAAAATAACTGATCACTAATGTCAGAGACAAAGAAATTATGTTTTTTACACGCTTCTTGATTATATAAAACACAAGTACGAAAATGTGGGCAAACTATGCATTAACATAATATACTTGTGCCAACTTCTTAGGCTGCGTAAAACATTCACCTTCTCAGAATGAAGGTTATGACTAAGCAATTGTTACTACTGCGTTTACTATAATACTTTTTAGAACTTCGTTATACAGGGTGAATAAAAAGTCAAGACCCCCCCTCCTCTTATATTTTTTCAAGTAAATATACAGAGATAACCTTTTGGTGGTCGTGCAATCTTAGCAGGAAGTTTCATTTTATGATGTTTAATATTTTGAGTGTCGGATTTGGGGGGCAACTAAACATTTTTCAATGTAAACCCCCATCAAGTGACACTTCGTTTTGAAGTGTTTACAAAACTTAAAGAATAGTGAAAACCAGAGTTCACTATCTCTTCTCTATCCAAAATGGTAGCCAATATTACCATTAAGAACCAATCTTACCATTGATTTTCCACAACATTTGACGGGCTACCATTTTGGATAAAGAAGAGATAGCGAACTCTCGTTTTCACTATCCTCTAAGTTTTTGTAAAAACTTCAAAATGAGTAGTCACTTGAAAGGGTTTACGTTTAAAATATTTGAGTTGCCCCCTAAATCTCCCCTTTTGGGGGGGGACACTCAAAAATTTCAAAATCATAAAATGAAACTTTCTGCTAAGATTGCACGACCACCAAAAGGATATCTCTGTATATCTACTTGGAAAAATATTAGAGGGGGGGTCTTGACTTTTTATTCCCCCTGTATATATTTTTACAGATTTAAAGGATCGTGTATAAAGATTTTTACAAACAATCCATAACTGGTAAATTTAGAATATTCTTTTTACGGTGAAGTAGTTTAACGTTAATAATCACATTTTACGTATTCTATTTACACGCTGGGATCTATTTATACAGATTTGCTACTAATTATCTAACAAATGTTATACTTATTCAAAGATTGGCCACACAAACATTGTTCACAATGTCACACAGATATTGACTAGTCGCAGATTGTATAATTACATAGATAGCTAGGCCTTCATGTACTCTCCACAAATTGATAGCATAGAGCTATTCGCTGGGGACGAGACGACCTCCCATGAAGTATTTAACTTTGTTTACTTCGTTGAAAATAATCAGACGCCAGGATCTGAACTGTTGCAAAATATATTTGTCACAGAGCATTCATTGACAATGGTTATTTGTATGTTTTACTAAGCTTTGCCCTGGGATTGGATGTCCACATTATTTCAGGAGTGGTTTAAAGTTTGGAACATTAAATATTAATATTTAAAATATTTAAACATTAAACATTTCGGTCCGTATTACAAACACTATTTTTCGCCACACTATACCCTATTATTACTATTCACCACAATAATAATAGTCACTGATAGTCAATGCAACTACAACTTTAAGGTTATGTAAAGAAATAATTTTAGGAATCAGCAAAATTAATAATAAATAGTTGCTAGGCAGCGGTA